AAAACAAAACAAAACAAAACAAAACAATTTTTTTTTTACTTTATGTGTTCAAATGTTTTGCATACATATGTATGTATGTATGTGTGTATATGTGTGTATATATATATATACATATACACACACACACACATGTATACCTTGAGCATGCCTGATACCCACAGAGCCAGAAGAGGACCTTTGACCCCTAGAACTGAATGGTTGTGAGCCACCATACGGGTCCTCTGGAAGAGCAGCCAGAGCTTTTACCCACGGAGGCAGCTCTGCGGCTTTTCACTTATTTTTTTCATTGGCGGATTGAGAAGGGTAGCCACGTGCACCTCGTTATGGCTGCCAGGGCCCAGGCTTACATGGTAAAATCTCCGGTAACAAGATTGCCATCGCCGGGCGGTGGTGGCGCACGCCTTTAAGCCCAGCACTTGGGAGGCAGAGGCAGGTGGATCTCTGTGAGTTCGAGGCCAGCCTGGGCTATAGAATGAATTTCAGGACAGCCAAGACTACACAGAGAAACCCTGTCTCAAAAAACAAAAACAAACAAACAAAAATATTGCCATCATTTGTGGGCTATTTTGTTTGTTTGTTTATTTGTTTTGTTTCTTTGAGACACGGTTTCTTTGTGTGTAGCACTGGCTGTCCTGGAACTCACTCTGTAGACCAGGCTGGCCTCGAACTTACAGAGATCTGCCTGCCTCTGCCTCCGGAGTGCTGGGATTAAAGGCGTGCGCCACCATGCCCTGCTCATTTGTTGGCTTCTAATGCAGACCAAGTTTGCAGTTTTTGTTGCCTTCTGTGTGATTTGCCACCAGACATTCATGTGTGAATATAATACTTTACTGCAAACGCCTTTCATTTTATTGCAGTTTACAGGAAAGGACCACAGACTCTTGCTTCCCATTCTGTTCCCTGGCACACGGCAGGCAGTCGGGAGTGAGTTTCTGGATGGAAGAGTGAGGTACCCTCAGGAAATGGGGGCAAGCAAAGTTGTCAAAGGTCAAAATCCTACAAGCAGGGGACACCCACTGTTGACTTTTAGCTTCCAGGTCACCCGAGGGTGGGATGGGGATTCGTCTGCCCGGAGACAACTGAGAAACTAGCTTTGTGCCCCAGGGAGATGCCCAAGGCAGAGGAAGCCGGAAGTGAGTGTTCTTGCTACTGGTAATGACGCCTATAAATGGCACAGAGAACATTGGGAGATCACACTCTGGCCACTTGACATCAAAGCAGGTCTTTGGCAGCTCCGGTGGGGACCCATGTGTGGTTTGATAACTCACTTCTTCCTCAGATGAACTTGCCAGAAAGTTGACTTCAGCAACAACCCGATCAGTCATGTTCTCCTAAGATGCTGAATGAGGTCGGAAGAGTAAACGGACGCAGCCAATGAATCCTCAGACTTCCGGAACACAGCACCCAGCTGTCCAGGCTGTGTTCTGCAGTACTGAGATGACAGGCGTGTGAAGACTCCCCCCCCCCCATCCCCTTCCTACCCCTGGCTCCAGAATGCAGTTCCAACACAGGGCTCTGCACGACATCGTAAAGCAGAGCAGGAGCAGGTCACTGTCTCTTTCTGGGCTCCGAATATTCCCAGGGCTGCCCTGGCTTTGGAGTTTTGTATCGGTGTCCCAGATGGTTCCTGACCCCAAGTACCTCAGGATCTCAGGGGGACATCTAGAGGGACCGCTAATTAAAATGTAAGAAGTGGGCAGGAAAAGATGGTTCCCTGAGAGAGAGCTTAGAGAAGGCCGCTGACGGGAGATGAGAGAAGGTCTGAGGGGAGGTGACTAAGGCACTGAGGAGCAGACAGAAGATGGCGAGGCTTAGAATGCTGGGGGCGAGGAGATTGGAACGAACCCTACCAGGAAACAGCCTGGGCCACGGCCTGGAGGTGACAGAATATGATCCCCAGGGGACCCAAAATAGTTCAGAGTAGCTGGACCACACAGCGGCAACACGTTAGGCAGGAGCCATCAGCTACAGGAAGCTTTGCCAAAGCCAAGTTCAAGAGAGCCTTGGCATAGTCTGGGGGGCCCCAGGGCCTCAGAGGTCTAATACAGCCAGGGCTCTCTAGTTTCTCCAAAACAAAGGAGTTCTTCCTTGCCCTTTTCTGCCAGCCACAGGAAAGGGTTCCGGGCTGGTTTTTTTTTTTTTTTTAGTTTGTTTTGAAAACCCTTCCCACGTAGTCTCACCCATTTGGACAGATTAAACATTGATTCATCAGTCAACCAGAAAGGGCCACAGAAAGCACCAGAAACACAAGATTGAGAGTGGGGTAGACTGCCACCGAGCTGTTCAGTGGTAGGCCACTTGCCCGGCACATCCGGGTGCTGGGCTTCATCTGCAAAAAGCAGGGACAGAAACAAGCAAAAACTGCTTTCTGCTTACTGTAGCTGGGGAAGTAACCGTTGAATTCACTCCAAGTTTTTATCTAGGACCATCAGCCTAATTGGCTTTTTGTGGGATGGCTTCTTTTTTTAAAAAATCATTTATTTTATGTGTATGGATGTTTTGCCTGCATGTATTTCTTCTGTTCACTACCTGTGTGCCAGTGCCCACAGAGGTCGGAAGAGGGGGTCAGATCCCTCATGAACCATCACATGGGTCCTGGGAGTTGAACCCTGGTCCTCTGAAAGAGCGGCCAGTGCTCTTAACTGCTGAGCCGTCTCTCCAGCAACACCCCACCCCACCCCCTTTTTAGCTCCTTTGAGACAGGGATGGCTCATTATGTAGCGATGGCTATTTTTAAATCTGATTTCTCTTCATTGTAGAGTTTTCTATTTCTTTCTTTTTGCCGGAGATAAGATCTCTCTGTGTAGTTCTGGCCTGGAACTGTGTAGACCAGGCTAGCTTAGAACTCACAGGGGGGTGGTGGTGGTGGTGGTGGTGGTGGTGGTGGTGGCAGCGGCGGCGGCGGCAGCGGCGGCGGCACACGCCTTTAAGCCTTTAATCCCAACACTTGGGAGGCAGAGGCAGGCAGATCTCTGTGAGTTCGAGCCCAGCCTGGTCGTCTACCGAGCAAGATCCAGGACAGGCACCAAAGCTACACAGCGAAACCATGCCTCGAAAAAGAACCCACAGGGATCTGTGTGCTTCTGCCTCCTGAGTGCAGGATTAAAGGCACATGCTATGAGCCCAGGTTAGTTTTCTATTTAGTCACAGATTATGTAAAGTTACAAGGATTTTTATTTTCTTTTTTTCTTAAATTTCATTTTTTCTTAAGTTAGACATAGTGGCACATGCTAGTAAAGCCAGCACTTAGGTGGATCAGGAGCTCATGGCCATCTCCGAATACGTAGCAGGACCAAAACCAGCCTGGGCTACATGAGACCCTTTCTCAAAACAAAAACAAACCCCACAACAATGAATAAATAATGAGTAACACCCCCCCCCCCTTCTCTGCAGCCCTGACTGACGTGGAATTCACCGTGTGGCAGCAATTCGGGCAATCATGTGATTATGGGCAGGAGCCACCATGCTTGGCTGACATGGTTTTCTTTAGCCAAAAGTGACTGCGTTTCTTTAGTGTCATGTTTCATACTCGCTGTGATCAGGGTCTGTGGCTCTGCCAACTTAACTTGAGACAGTAACTCCCTGCCAACTAATAGAGCACACCTATGTCCTGTCCAGCCGCGAGCCCGGCTTCCATCTACTCTTTTTCTCCTCATTCTCCAGCTACGGGCCCCCTTTGAGGCACACACTAGTTCCCTGTGGGTGTGGTCTGCTCTCTGCTTTCTTCACTCTGCTTACACCCTCCCCTGCCCTACCCCACCCCGCCCCCCAGCTCCCGCCCCCCTGCTTTCTCCATCCTCAGTCAGGCTGGCCCTCAGTCTTCCTCACCGGGGAGAGCTTCCAGAGTCCCCTCTGTCCTAGCCGGGTTCAGAAGTGTTTCTTCTGGTCCGGTGGGTAGTTTGAGCTGCACGTTTATTACAGTGTGTTCCAACCTCGGCCTCCTCCACTTCCGGTTGCTCTTCTGTTCCTCAGTTCTGTGGAGTCAAACAGGCAATCGATCTCACTCTTGGGTCTCGACTTGGTCTGAAATTCAGGGAGTGCACTGTAGGAGCCCTGGGCTGGGAGACGCAGTCTGAGCCCTAAGTCTGAGTTCAAAGTGGCTTTGGCCAAATCAGTGCAACTCCCAGACCCCACTGCCCCCCATACAGTAGGAACAGCTATGGCTATTTAAAATGCACTGCACTAGGGACGACTCAGTGATTAAGAACACTAGCTGCTCTCGCAGAGGACCTAGTCTCAGTTCCCGGCATCCACACGACAGCTCACAATCATCTCTACTCCAGTTCTAGGAGATCTGATTCCCTCTCTTCACTTCTGTGGGTGCTGGGTACACATGTGGTGCCCAGACATACATGCAAGCAAAACACTCATATACATAAAAATTTAAAAAAGTTTTTCAGTGCCACACCAATTATTGTGATCATGGTTTTTATACACCGTCTTATGTGTCTGTTTCAGGGAAGAATGTAAAATGCTCGAGAAGACTGGAGAGTCATAATCATCTTAGCACTAGCCATTCAGTACCATTTTGGTGCCTCCAAGTTCTATCTCAAAAGGTTACTAGGGACCCTTCCCCTGCTTTCCTTCTCTCGTGGTAAGTGAGGTGGCTCCTTGGATGGAGTTATAACCTAAAAAGGCAGAACCGGGAGCCACTAGGGTCGCATGAGGCGTTTGGTATCTGCCCTCTCCCTCTTGCTAGGCTGCTGACTAGAAGTGTCACCTGTATTTCTGGCGAGATGCTCTTTTTCAAGTTCGCAAGATTTCCATGTCTTTCTGTTCCGTCTCAGAACCAGCAGCCGTGGGATTCGAACTCTCGATCACCTATTTTCCAGGGCACTCTCTCCTTGCCCTTGGCATCTAGCTTAGAGCCTTTGCCTGGAGGCGTGGCCGAAACCCGAGATCCGGCCTACGCGCCTCGCGGAGCGGGCGGGGCGGGGCTAGCTCTTCTCGGGCTCCGATTGGCCGTCGAGCGAGACGGGGCCCGCGGATTGGCTGCGCGGCGGCCGCCGGCTGACGTGGCGGGGCCGGGACCTGCTGGCTTGCACGGCGGGTGCGGAAACGCCACGGAAAGCGTGCGGGCGCGGGTAGACATCATGCCGCTCGAGCTGGAGCTGTGCCCCGGGCGCTGGGTGGGTGGGCAGCACCCGTGCTTCATCATCGCGGAGATCGGCCAGAACCACCAGGGCGACCTGGACGTGGCCAAACGCATGATCCGCACGGCCAAGGTGAGGGGCGGGGCCCGGGAGGGTCCGCGGAGGGTTAACGGTGGAGTCGGGGAAGGTTAACCTGGGGGATTCGGGGAAGGTTAACCTGGGGGATTTGGGAGGAGCCCAGGGGGCGAGTTAACGGAGGGGGCTGGGAGGGTTCACAGAGAGGCTCGGGAAAGCGCTCTGGTTCTGCGCTCCGTGTCTCACTTACCTCGGCTCCCCATCTCCGGTCTTCCAGGCGCTCTTGCTCGCCCTCTCCGCCTCCCTGCGGACCCGACCTCTTTCTTCCCCTTTCTGGATAGATCAGCTTCTACCCTTGCCTGGGACCGTCGGTGCGCGCTCCCTACCTGACCAGGATCTTAGGGACCCAGCCCCTTCCTGCTTGTCATATGTCACCTCGGAGATCCTCTCCTGACATTGGTTTCCAA